ATTCAAATATATCCAAGATTTGAAAAATCTGTTCAACATTTGTTGATGCCGGTACTAATGCTGTGCATATTTAAAATCTTGGGATATATCATAATTGTTTCAAATTGAAGTAAGTTCAATAGAGTGGTACATTGAATTGCTGGCAATTGCTAGCATAGATGTTGCCTGAGACAGAGATACAAAACTGTGACCTTACATGTCAATGCGCTGCTGTCTTTGGGGGACCATCATAAGCAGATAGGAATAATGGAAGAGACCTTGATTACACAGAATTAATTATCTCCATCAGAAGCTGGGCCCAACAATCATTAGTAAAGTAACAACTGCTTGCAAGTAGTTAGAAATTAAAACTCTATTCATCAGTCCTGGAAATTCCATATAAAGATTTTCAAATTAAAAAAAATAAACTGCTCAAAAGTTACGCTATACGGTTGACGCTGTTTTGACATCCCGAGGCAGAGCATGCGGTCTGTGCGCTGGTGCCAGTGAGATCTGCTTGTGATTCCTCCATGACAATATAAGCATAGAAATTAAAGTAATCGTTTAGAGTCTTCTAGCAGTTTGACAGAGTAATTTCACGTCTGTTCAATTTAATAATAGAACAATTGAAGTTTATATTTTGTATGTCTTTTTTTAAAAATTTCATTTTCCTAGTAGTACATTTTTACTGTATTTATAAATGTATTGGTATGTGGTGGAAAATAATAGATAGAAAAAAAATTCTGGTCCTTCACCATGAATGATTAGAACTATGGTTCTAAGGTGCTTGATAATGTAGATTAAATGAAAATATAATGTAGATTAAATGAAAATATAATGTAAATTATTGCCCACTAATATATTTGAAAATTATTTGAAGTTCTGTAAAGATAGTCCAAATAAGAGGGACATTTTTCTTCTTAAATGAAAAGACAACAATTTAAATTCAAAAGCTGGTGCATGTGGGATTTAAACTGTTAACCAGTTACATGGATTCATAAAATTAAAATTAATTTTAAAAGCTTTCCATCTTCCCCTATCAGTGGCCCAGTTTCTAAAGAATATAATACAGCTCTAGGAAGTGTAATTTCTTATATGCTAGTTAGTGATTTTATAGCTAAAACTACTCTAAAGCTGAAGTATAAAATATCCTCTGAATTTATCAATTGACAGTTAGACATTGACTTTAGCATCTGCAAGAAAGTGATACAGTTTTTGTAAACAACATAGCCTGGCTGGGAGAAGAAAATTTAGGAGATCTCAATACTAAGTGTCCATGAATAGAACCTGTACTGAGAAACCCCAAATACTAACACATCCTTTTCCATAATTGTATCAGTAACTGTACTAAATGAAGATCACATAAAATTGAAAACAATAAAGTTAAATCATGAAAACTGATCTAACCTACTCAGCACCACTGTCAAAACACAGACTAAGTCTGTGCCATGCATTGATTATGTATCACTTAATATTGTTTCTGACTGTTAACTGTACTGTAACTCAAGTATGTAAGACCCATTTCTGAAAAGCCAGTATGATTCCTAAAGATGACTACACTAACTGGACTAAATAACTAAAATATATGCTGGTCATTTGAATTATCATATTGGATTGGCGGTCATTCAGCCATAGGATTCATTGCCCAAAGATCAAGTTTCAGACATTTTATTCAGTCGGGAGAGACCGAGCATGTCATGACCAGATGACACAGGGCCTTAGATGTTGATCCAGTTTGGAAATTGTCCTTCATTTTATTTTCCTTTTGAATGTATTTGAACTATAGATTTAAATGGATGTGCTAATTGCTCTTGAACTGTATATAGTGTAACAAATCTATCTCATAGAAAGCTGTTCCTTCTGTTTCTGTGATACTGATTGATCTCTCTTTGAATTTTTTTCCTTTCAGTTCATTTATTTTTCACCTCTTTTGCCTCTCTACTTCATTACGCCCTTTAACTAAAGATCCCCTACATTAGGACTCAATCCTAAGATTTTGGTATAAATTTCAAAGTATTATGGAGTAGATAACTCATTATTTCCTGATGTGTGTGGCTCGGGAACATAATTCATGAGCACGGTCCTCTCAATGTCACACCAACATTTATCGAGTTCCTGCCATGAAGTACTCCCAAGGCTGTGGATTCAACTACGCCCAAACTCCTGTGCTGGAGAAGCTCTCAGCAACATAATGATTTGTTTGCATATCTAATAGGAATGAAAGACTGAGATATACTGCAGAATGTCATACATGCTATAAGTTATGTAAACACTGCTTTGCATCCTCAGATGTGAAATCATTTCATTCTTCTGGTTTGGGGAGGGAGAAATGCATTCTTGGGGGTATAAGTGGTAGCATCAGAAGGGATAAAGTGGGGAAGAGTGTTCTTGGAAGAACAAAGTAATGATGCAAGAAAATGCATGATACAATTTTGGGAAAAGGCAATTATCTTTGTGCGTGTTTAGAATTAAGTATACAGTAGGGGAGGATATCTTGCAGAGGTTAGATAAAAGACTTGAAAAATAATTGTAGACAGCTGGAAAAGTGCCTACTACCCTACACGAAGGAGTCCTGTGATCAGATCTATGTTTTAAAGAGAAAACTAACAGCAGCATGGGCGATGATGGCACCCACAGGATGAAATCCCACAGAAAGGACAGTGGGTCTCTCAAGAACCCAAACCTACAGAAGTCAGAAAAGTGAGACTAATGTACCCATGCAACGAGTACCCTAAATCTTGGACTCCCTCGGATAAAGTTCAGTGACTCAACAGACCCCTACAGCAAGGGTTCAGGGAGCAGGAGTGAGGGAAGAAAAGCAATGCATAGATAGGTTGTGGATTCTGGAGACCAGTCGTGGGTTTAAAGGCCAGTTCCCCACACCCTGTAACCGTGGACCGGTTATTTATTTAACATATCTAAGCCTCAGCTTCCTCATGTATAAAATGGGGCTTAATAATAGCTCCTAACTTATAGGGTTGTTATGAGAATTAAATGAGCACTTACATTGCCTCACACATGTCAATACTCAATGAATGTTCTCCATTATCATGTTAACGATGAATTGTTTTTGTCATTGCCTTTTAAGCACACCTATCACTACTGGCTAATACATCAATGTGAACCAAAGAGGTCAGAGAGAATAAACGAATTTTGACTTTGCATTTCACGTTGGTTTTAGTTCAGCCCCTTCCCCCTACCCATCCCCTCCCTGTCTCCAATTAATACCTTTCTGATCATTCAGTATATCACATTTCATATACCTCTTCCTCTGGAAAGAGTTGGTCAATAAAATGGTCCTGTGATGGCATGACGCTCTTTTTGCCCAGTTCTTGACTATTTACTAAGTGCAGCACAAATAATCATGCTTGAGACGACAGTGTCATCACCTAAACAGATCTTATATTAAGTGATAATTAACTAACACTCCATAAAGTAAGCAGATAATAGTTAACATACTATTTCAGAAACACAGATAGAGAAGCTGGAAGAAACCAAATATTCACAAAGGTTCAAATAGGAAATCAGTAACAACTTTGACTGTAGAATTCATATTTTTAGTAGACGTACTCAAATTTCTTCTCCAAAGGTGTAACGATTAATGTCGAAATGAAAAAAAAATACAGAAATTACCTTTCCCTACCCCTTTACATATGTTTCCATATTAATAAAACAAACAAACATACCTTCACTGGCATGCCGGTCTCTAAATATATTCTTGGGGTGGACACTGAATCCTTCTATATCATGAACGGATGAAGCCCTCCGTATACTACAAATGCTTTCCTTTGATCTGGAATGAGTCAGCTGGGAACTTGACTGCAGCATGTCGGGGTAGAGTCGGTCCCATTGTCTTTTGGGAGAGGAATGGTCAAGAGGTCCAGATATATTCACCAAGGGGGAACATTTGCTGGGCTGTATCAAGGCTTTTGTATCATCTGCTTCAGAGGGACTGCAGCTTTCTTTTGTAGGAGACTTAAAGTGCTTCATGGCTACTGAATCATCACTTTGTTTAGATGAATCGATCACTACCACATCGGGGTCTTCTTGTGGTAAGGACTGCTTTCTGTAAGTGAGAACTCTCAGACCAGGGAACTTGAACCCAAAAAGTTTTCCTACAAATGGAGACAGGAAAGAGCATTGTAACAAGACAAAGGATATATCCCTTAAAACAAACAAAAACTGTCGATACATGTTTAAACACCACGTAAAAAGTTATTCATCAATACTTAAGTTATTTACAGTTGGAATGAGGTATACATTGTAGAAAACTTCTGAGACTAATTTGAATTCTCATATAAATAGTAAGAAAACAGTGAAATAATTTTACCATGTTTCTGGTGGTTAAATATACTCCAGTGACATAAAACCATCATTTGTTTGACATGAGGTTTTTTGTTTTAAAAAAATGAAAAATAATATTCACTATATATCCATTTTTTAAGAGAAATCGAAGACTGGAGCACAATTTTGAAAGGAAAAGAAAGGATGGGTTATGAAGTATAAAAGGGCCAGACACGGGAAAGACTATAGCATATGTGGGCTGGGGGGCGGAATGTTAGTGTGTTGCAAAGTGGAGGAAAGGAAGTGAGGTGGGGGCAAGGGGTTGGGCTGACATAGCTAGAAGGTTTGTAATGGATAATATTGCTAGTCAAGTATGGATGGGAAAAGTGGGGCCAACTGTGTATGAGACATTCCTCATTCTGTTTGGAATTCTTGAAAGGCTTTTGGTTTCAGAGACAGATGTAAACTTAAGAACTTGTTTTTCCTGATTTTTTTTGTTCCAAAATCTGAGAATATGGCAGGGAATGCTTTATATCTATATCTATATCTATATCTATATCTATATCTATATCTATATCTATATCTGTATCTGTATCTGTATCTGTATCTCAGAGTGGATGGTGTTTAGAAGGGCAACTAAATATAAACATTAAAGGGTAGGTATTAAAAATTAACATTAGCTAATAAATACATAACTCATTGGTAGTATTGCACATTAAAACAATGCACATTAAAACGAGAATATCATGGTCAACTCTTCAATTTAGCAGTAAATGAAAGAAAGAAGCGCAATATCTAATGCTGGCAAACATTTTGACACTGCTGGTGGGACTGCAAATTGTTACAAATTCTTTGGAAAGTGATCTTACAATATCTATTAAGATGAAAAATGTACTTCTCAAAAACACTTCTCATTTGACTCAGTAATCTCTTTTATAGACTATTACATAGGCACAGAAGCTAGACACTATCTGTATAGTAGAATGGTTGAAAAAGTTATGAGATTTTTATACTTTGGAATCTTACGATGTTCTTTAAAAACAAGAATATGTGTATGTTTTGATTAGAAGGTTATTTTAAGTACAGTTTTATGTGAAAAAGCATGTTTCAGCTTAATGTGCTCACGATACTATTTCATTAAAAAATAGTAAAAGCTTATATTTGTCCATGTAAGTAATACGGCAGTAGAGAAAGATGTGGAAGAACATAGTCCAAAGCTTTAAGGTTGATTGGCTAGGTGGGTTTAGAAGTGTGGAAGTATAATAATGTATTGTGTTCTTTTTTATTTATCTCTATTGTTTGTTTCACCAAGCATGTATTCTTTTATACAGTAAAAAAAAACTAATAAGATAAACTTCTACCCCTAGAAGAAGTGAAAAATAAGAGGAAGCATTCAAACAATAATGTGTAATTCAAAGCTTTTCTAAGTATTGTCTACAAGAAAATGCAGTTTCTAACTTCTGTTGCGAGAGTGGCAGCCTAGGTCCACATCACCCAATGGCTTTACAGTTACATGCTGCCCTCTGAGTCAGTCAGTTGGTATATCTGGGCTATAATATTATCTACCTTCTTATATTCTTTATGTGTCATGGGCACTGTTACCTTTAATATAGTCATTATAAACATTTTCTCAATGCACTGAAGTTTGTTCTAAAACACGGAAGAACACTCTCAAGACCTATGAACTTTTCTGCATTATATTTAAGTATACTCCTCCAGTGGATGGTCTTATTTTATACACATATTTTCAATTCCATCTTTAGTCCAATGACTCCTAAATCTAAAACTCAAGCCTGGACCTACACTCTTAGCTCCAGACCTGCATTTCTAATGGCCTCATCAACATCTTCACTTAGAAGTCTTAAAGGCACCTCAAAATCTCATAGCAAATCTGATCTCATGATCTATCCTTCCAAGCCCAGCCCTTTTCTTTTTTTCAGCGAATGGCATCACAGTCCATCTAGTTGTATAGGCCTGAGATCTGAGGGCCATTCTAGTACTTACTGTGCTCTCTCACCTCCATCACACATATCTAATTAATCCACTAACTGTGTTCATTTCACTTCCTGAATATCTTTCTGATATCTGACATTTGGTATTTTGATACTGATGTTTTTACTTCTCTCATCATCACTGCTCTCTTTTGTCTAAGATGATATCATGGTTCACCTGATTTCTTGAAATAGGATGCTAATCATTTTCCACATTTGCATCATACTGTCCATCCAGTAAAAAAGTCATTTTTAAAAAAACCTCATTTCTGATCATTCAGATGATTGTTTAACCTTTTACTGCTTCCAGTAACTTCCTGCTTTGGGCTTGAAGACAACACTAGCTCCACTATCTGCAGCTTAGTTTTCCCTCCTTGCTCGCCAGGATCCAACCATGTGAACTTTTTCATTCCTCTAGAGGCCTGTGCTTCTTATAAATTCAGGGCTTCCTTGTGTTTGACACATTCGACTCTTCCTACTCAGTACATCTTTAGGTTTTAGCTCCAAAGTCTTTTCCTGTGGGAAGCTTTTCCTTCCTTCGGAACTAGATTAGTCTACCCTTCATAATTTTCACAACGGCTAATGGTTATACTCTTGTTGATTTTCTGATTAACATTTCTCTCCCCTAGTGGACTGTAGGCCTCATAAGGGCAGGGCCCCTGTCTATTTTGCTCACCGAATCACAGCTCTAACAGAATGTCTGAGCACAGTAAATGAATTACTAGCAGACTCAAAACTGATAGTGTGCTTCAATTTTGACTGTGGAAAAACGAAAATATCTAGTTGCTCTGACCAACTTAATTAGAGAATCTTAACCTCTTAGAATTGTATTCACCTATATTTACCAAAAATGGTTGACTGAATAGAACCCAGTGTCTGATGGAAGTGGTGAACGCTATACCATGTCCTGTATACCTGATACAATTCTTATTGTTAACTTCACCTTTTTTCCCCAGAGGTTATTAACTGTTACCGTTCTGATTCTACAGCATACACAGAAGTGTTTTCACACTCCTCATCATCTACTGAATGTTACAGAAAATTTTTGAATTAAGCAGACTAATTTATTATTGTAAGCTTTCATTGTGTGCCAGTAGTTAACAGTAGTAAATATAACTGAAATAGAATTTATCTTTCTGATAAAAGACATGACACAGTGCACAATTTCCAAGTATGTTCAACATTAAACTCTGGACTAATAAAATGTAGATGAGAGTAACCAATGTGTTGCATATATAATTAAATAATGATGCATCACAGTAACTATTTTGCAAGCATTCTTACATAATTCTACTAACAACTTTTATATGCTCGAGCAAATTGCCAAGTTAAAAATCAGTCAACTGCATCAGAGTCATTTGATTAGTTTTTAATGCACTTGGAATTGAGTTATAAAGCAGTTTACAAATCAATTCTGCAAGCTTATTACAATGCACTGAGGTCAATGCCTACTTTTATTCATTTTTCATCAGTTACATTACCCTCCTCCTTTTAAAACAATTCACTGCCTTTCTTAAATTGATGACTGCACAAGGCATTTAGTTTGCTCCTGCAGTTTAGTCATATCCAAGGTGGTACAGATGGTCTTTTCTGCATCACTAGGTTAATATGACCATGCTATACTGCATTACAGATTTAGTTGTCTAACTGCAGTTCATCCGGAAAGAATACACATTGAGAATTTTGCTCAATGCTAACACTCTCAGGCATGAACTATAAAACACAGATGAGTATAATCCTGTTACGTTTCTTAACACTGAAAAATAGTCTTGTAAGTTGTCTCTGTATTTCACTACATTTGCTTTCTAACTTGAATAACTGAAACAGATACATTTAAGCTTATTATCTACTAAAATGTTCAATAAATCTGAAATAAGAAAAACAGAATAAAAATTTTTACACATTTTTGACACATTCCCCCAAATAAGTACTGATAAACTATTTACATGAAAATAATTTTGTCTGACTGCAACATTTTCATCTAAGAGGTAGATACCTGAACTTATGACTAGCTACCCCCACAATATCATTCTCAGGACATGCCACTTTTGTGAAGCTGCTGAATATATATTTGGAAGCTGCATTCTCATGCAGCCTGTGTCACATTTAACTAAGAGCTTTTTACATCTCAACCAAGAAGGCACACAGCTCTGTCCAGTGGTTTTCTATTTTAAAAGCCTAAGATTATGACTTCATTCTATGTATGGAAAAACTGTTAAATATTTGGCCCAAGGTTAAACAAGAAATCAGGGTGAAGTCAGAATAAAACAGCAATTTCCTTGATTTAATTTCAGTTTTACCCAAGATTTGGTGTTTTCTTGGGCCATAAATACATACATGAGAATCTAGTAAAAATCATAACACTCTCCTCTAAATAAATACAAATAAATGCAAATAAATGCACGCACACATTTTTTTTTAATGATCTCAAAGTTTAAATAAGTAACAAAATCTTCCTCCCCCAACCAAAACCCTTCCATTAACCTCCTCTGGGATCCCCTAAGATTAGCTGATTTCTAATATTCCTTCTAGCTTTGAGTTTCTTTACATATATAGTTATACTAATCATAGTCCCCACAAAATTACAATGATCACAACTGCATCTCTACCCCTATCTCCTGTGGTAATGGGACTTCAGAAAACGGTTTTACCAAACTTTTTCAAATTGAGGAAACCTCATCAATCTGAACTGGTATTCCTCTCTCTCTCCCTCTCCCCCTGGTAGATGCTTCTCATCTACTAGAGTTTGGAAGACAACTATTGTGCTAATTTTGACATCAAACTATTGTCTAACTCAAGAATATACCTAGGAACATTAGAAACAGAAATATTTCTTGCAG